ATTTGGAACCTCCTAATACAACACAACCCAACCACTCTGGGACACAAAGCCAGTATGCCCTATATACAAAACACAAAGGGATTATGTCCACCATGGATTAAACTTACCCCCCATGTTAGGTGCAACTCCACTACAATTTTGATCACTTAACTTAGGGAAAAAAATGCCTAGCAACAACCCTCATACCTCATTAATAGCAATCTGTGGCCCTCACTGACTCAGTGGTGCTTTTTTATAAAAACATCTGAAGAGGTGGCAAATGGTTGCAACTGATGTCAGGTCACAGCAATTCCAAAAGCTGAGCAAGCTATTCATCCACTGCTTCAGTCTTCTTCCCTACTGTTACAGTCCTGCCACCAAAGGTGAAAAAACTGTGCGAATGAGTTCTTTGCAACCAAGCCTTGGCAAAAGTCAATAAATAAGAGAGCTTGTCAAAGGCAGGACCATATTATGGGCAACCTCCTCTAGTTGCAAATTTGGGGGCTGGGAAAAGTGGGAGGGAGCATGTGTGCAAGAAACAGATAAGAGTCCTTTTGAAAGGGTTTGGTTACCCAACCCCAGATGCCCAGCTCAGTGCCAGCAGACTAGAACCTGCTAAAAACCCATTATTCAGACAGAAAGGGAAGAGAAGACACCAAAAAATATAGTCAGTTTCGAAATTTGCACAGTTGATATTTGTTCTTCATAGCAGTAAGAACTTGAATGAGAATCATGGAACAGAGAAGACACCAAAAAATATAGTCAGTTTCAAAATTTGCACAGTTGATATTTGTTCTTCATAGCAGTAAGAACTTGAATGAGAATCATGGAACTTGAGGAACACATATTTTTCTTCACTTGAGGAACACTTATATTTTTCTTCAAGATTTAAAAAATTTTGTCTCGTACTGAAAGACCACATTCAGTGTGTGTCAGGTCCAACAGCGTTAGCTATAACTTGGTTGTTAAGCACACCCAGCACTGGGAGGAAATGTCATCTGAGTGGAGCAGCTGGCGTGTGGGCCAGGGGCTACTCCTTCACTGATCACCAAGTCGAAAGCCCTGGCCCCAGTTGTGTCTCCCACCTCCGCCATTCTGATCAGCGGCTCGCCGCATGCTAGCAGGGGGCACACCAAATCCTGACACCCCTCCTCTCCTGCTGGGCAACCAGCGGTACCTGAAGCAGAAAGAGGGGAAACAAAGGAAAAAAAGAGAACAACGTCACTGCCACACAATTATCTGACCATTAAGCACATCTCCCTCTCTTGGCGCTTCCACAGCATCTGTCAGGGACTACTAGGTCTTACTTAACATTGCCTTTTCAGTACTTAGCTCAATGACCTCGACACAGATGGCAGTTGCTTTTCATATTTCTTAAATTTATTAAGCTTTCAGCTAAATTCACACTTTAAGCTCTTTTTTTTCTGATTAGAAAAGTAATTCATGCAGAACAGTATGAGAACAAAAATATTACACCCACCAGCTCAACAACCAGAAAGCACTGATGTTGGTGTATCTAAATATAAATCAGATTGGATCAAAGGATACAAAGTAAATTCTCTTTCAAAGGACAAATCCACAAGAGACTCTCGGCTGAGTCCATCAAGGGAGACTGGGAAAGAACGCATTATGTCTTGGAGGTTTTTAAAGTTTATTCATAACCTCTCCTCTAACTGCATTCTTCCCATCTCTCCTAGATGGTGGGAAAGCTGAGGCCAAAAAGGTTAGATGATTTTCCACCTTATAAAATAATAAATTCAGAGTCACAGAACATCTAAGAAAACTTAAACCCAAGTCTATCCACTCAATAGCATTTTCCAACTGTTTCCTGTCCTTGACTATAATATCTGAGGATGTGTTTAAACGTATTCCATTTGCCAGATCCTAAAGTTTAATTTTGCTTGAAGGCAGAGTATGATCTAATACCCCTGTTGAAACCCCTCTTGGCACCAAGAGTAAACCATGACAGGTGACTTGCCCTCAGCAAGAAAGCCTGAAGAGCACAATCTTATACTAAAGCAGCTACTATGTAAACTTATCGTTCAATGAGCATTTATCTTACACCAGGTGCTGCACGATTATAAATTCATCTGATCTTCACAACAACTCTCTGAGGTAGGCACTACTACTGTCCATTTTCAATCGTGAAGCTCTTCCAGTGTGAGTCAGGACTCAAACCCGAGCAGCCTGGCTCTGGAGCCTGCACCCTGCACTACTTCCTACACTCCACGCATCTTATTCGGGATGCAGTTGGTGACCAGAGTCCTAACTTGTTTACACCACCTTGAAACCTTTGAGCTCCCTCCCCCCCAAAACAATGGCCCCTTTTAAACAGAAAATTAACTGGGTACAGAAGAGAAAAAGATACATACAACTACTTTTCTGAATGGAATACAGAATACCGATACATCCTACAATTCTACAACTCACCTCTCCTCCCTTTTAAACAAGTACAGCTTTATCATTAAATAAAAATGTATTTCTAAGCGCTGGTTTCTCAACATCCATGACATCTGGTACAATATTCCTCCCAAGTACATAAAAAAATAGAACACTTAAAAAAGGCAACACTAGAGCTGTCTTGCTCTGCTATTTAGTCTAAGACAATATGGAAGCCATCTCCACTGCTTAAGCAGATAGTGAAATTAAATGCAAGTAATTAGAATAAAAAGACACCCAATTATACATAATCAACAAAAATTTATGGTAATTTCAAAGCAGTTACTGCTTTGCAAGGAGCTACGGTTTGTCATCTGATCTTTATGCAAAATTTAACAGAAGGACTTCCACCAACAGAGAAAGCTCAAGTGGAAGGCCAGCTCCAGTGTGGGCTGATTTTACACTAGAATCTCGTATACTTTGTTGCCCACAATTAAGAAATATCTACAAGCCATTAAGTCAGAATATGGCCATTTAAAGTAAAATAACTGTTGGCTATCCCCCAAAGCACAAAGATTTTTTTAATTGATGCATCTGCCATCCTACTTGATAAACCTAAATCCGAAATCCAAACCTGCTGTTATTATGTCCTTTGATAATTAGAAAGCAGATTGGTCATTTGTTTTTTTAGCCTAAAGACAATCCAAGGCTCAGAAGAGAACAAGTTTCTTTTTATTCTCTTAAAGAAAAAAACATACATGCAACAACAACACTGTACTTCTTTGTATATTATAGATCACAATTTTAAAAAGTCTTTCAAAAACATACCCTGAACCTAGAAAGGGGGGTGGGGGGTAGTTACTCAGCTTTACTGCCCTCACTGACCCCTTGGAAGAATGACAGAACTGCAAAACACTAAAATGAGCAAGATGTGAAAGGGTTTTTTTTAAGCTTTTAAATGCAAGCTATTACTGCATATCCCCAACATGAGATTAGGCGTGATTGTCAGGCAGGCTGAGACACCCAGATGGTGATTTAACTGGTCCCTTCTTCAACAGTCTTTTGCTTCACTGACAGAATGGTCATAACCACTCACGTGCTTAAGTGTGTGAGCACCTCTTCTCAGCTCATCAAAATCCCGCCCCCACCCCCAACTATAGGAATATGGCAAGTAGCTTTTACTTACTAAGTACCCACTACTGTGCTCCCAACAGTATATTTTACCTCATGCAGTCCTGTGAGACAGGGGCTTCCCCCCAACTTACAGACCTGCAAACTGAAGCTTGAAGATTTTATTAAATAACTTTCCCAATACCAAAACTGTCATAGGAAGGGAACTGGATTCAGACATCAGTGCTGTTGCCCTTGGTCTTCTCACTTTAGAAAACCATAAAAGTAGATAAAGAATGAGCATATATCCCCAGGGCATCAGGACTATACAAACCTCAAGTGTCTCATTTTAAATTTAAACAGTCCTATAAAATTTCAATTCCATAATATTTGATATAAAAATGTTTA